ATGAGCAATCGTTAGTACAGTCGCATCTTTAAGTGCTGATCGAATAGCGAGTTGAATAAGACGATCTGTTTCCATGTCGATAGCTAATATAAAAAGGCAACAAATCAATAGTAACAAAGAAAAATCAAGAATACACTTGCCAGTAGTTGCTTCATCGAGTATAAATATTTTACTTTTTCTCAAAAGAGCTCGTGCTAAACACAACAATTGTCTCTCACCAGCACTAGACTACAAATGACAATGTTGAAGACTCAAATCTTTTGACACTACCTCATATTTTGACCACCTTCTGCCAAAAGGTATGATAAACCATTTTCCATTAAGATCACACGTTCTTTAATATGTACTAATTCTAACACATTCCAAATTTCTGCGTCACTGTAATTACCCAATGGATCGATATTGAATCTTACAGTGCCAGCAAAAATAACCGCATCCTACAGAAATGTTTTAATTGTGTAAATATAAAAAAAAAGGATTTACTTGTGGAATAATAGTAATCTTTGATCGCAAGTCATGTAAACCAATAAAACGAATGTTAATATTATCAATGATAATTGTACCAGTAGTAGGTTCGATAATACGAAAGAGTGCTGAACATAAACTGGTCTTTCCACTACCCGTTCGACCGATAATTCCAATCTAAATTTAATTTCAATACATTCAATTCTAAGTGTTCACATTACCTTCTCTCCATCTTCAACATTAACAGTTACATCCTTAAGCACTAACTGCAAATTTTCTCTATATCTCATTGATAATTCATTAATTCTAGAAAATATGAATGTCAAAAGTTTAAAAGACATATTCTATAATTAACATACTGAATACTTCCATTCGTTGGCCAATGTGGTGATGGTTTTTTTGCTGGAATTTCCCATGGAGCTTCAGGATTGAGTTCAGCATATTCATTGATACGTTCTACACTAACAATATTTGTTTCAATTTCACTTGATGTACGTACAAGTAAATTAAGTGAATTTGTAATTTGCAAAGCATAAGTAATCATTAAACCAACAGTACCAGCTGTTAAATGATCACGTAGAAATACAGAAGTAATTGCTGTGAATAATATAATTAGATTAGAAATCATTTCTAAACGAACACCAAGCCATCTAATAATTAACAAAAAAGAAAATAATGTCGATAATTAATTCATAATGAAGAATTTAAACCTATTAGCAACTGAACTAGCGAAATTACATGACTGATTTCTATCCATAAAGTTATCAGACATATCAATAAAACGTTGTTGTACATGATAAGCTCGAATTGAACTAAGACCTTGAATTGTTTCACCAAAATTTGCATAAATCGAACTACGTGTAACAGAATCAAGACGACGAAGTTGTCGAGAAGATGATATATAAATACGCTTATCGATTCAAACAAAGAATATATGTTCTACAGAGAATCTTAAATGAAAATAATTTTACCTGAACATAAGCAAAAAGAATAGTAAGTGGTATAAGTTCGAATATAGCAATCCATGATCCATAGATAAGTATTATTAATGTTGCAACAACAGTAATTAGTGTAGTAAGTGCTTGAGAAAAAGCATTAGGTAATGCTGTATCTATAGAATCAATATCTTTAGCAAAACGATTGATAATACGACCGACAGGTGTTGTATCAAAAAATGACATAGGCGAATGAAGTACTCCAATTAAAATAATCCAATGGAGCTTTCGACCAGCAATATATGCAGCAAGTTTTAAAACGAAATGCATAACAAATGCAAGAAAACCTAAAAACATGAGTAGAGAAGATTATCGAGATATATATGTTATTACCTTGAGTGAGTCCTAATGCTGAATAAATGTTCATATCACGAATTCGACTATTCGATAATGATGATGATGTATCATTCTTTGTCGATTTATCAGTCCATTTAGAAAGCCAAATATTTGTACATAGAGTAACAAATGTTGTTAAACAGAAAAAAATAGTGAGCAATGTAATCATTGATGATTTACATGCACGAATATAAATTGAAAAAATACGAAGTTTTACCTATTTTAATTCAGCCTAATTATAATAAAATAGAAGAAAAGATCAAAACTTACAGAACCTGTTTGTACAGTTTCTTTTTGAATAAGTTTTTTCTTTTCTTCTTCAATTTCGACTGTAATCGGTTGTAATTTAGTTTGTTGAACATCATTTTTAGTAATTTCAAGTGGATTAGAAACTAATTCTGTTGGAGGCGTTGAAATACTTTGTCGACGTTCTACGAATAAAAAAAAATGAATGCATCAATTTTCATTTATTTCTTATGCATACCAATATCATTTATTTCATGATGATATTGTTCTTTCTCAGAAAGAGCAACAGAATGAACAAATTCACGTAAAATCTTGCTTCGTTGTATTAAATCATTATATAAACCATGATCAACAATTTCACCTTGAGAAATAATAATAATATCATCACATTTATGTAAATGAGATACACCATGTGTAACTAAAATTCTTGTCTATTCAAACAAACAAAAAAAAATATTTACCCTTCGAAAAAAATCTTTCAAATATTTTTGTTTTACTTTGCCATTTAATAATCCTTTTGATCCAATAACATGTTTGAAGATATGAGCACCCACATGAGCATCAACAGCTGATAGCGGATCATCAAGTAGATAGATATCAGCATTACTATACAATGCTCGAGCTAATGAAACTCGTTGTCGTTGTCCACCGGATAAATTAATACCCTATAAGTTCGAAATTAAGGAAGTTCCTCGTTCGGAAATAATTTTTTTCATTTGATTTCAATCAAAAATTTCAAAGAATGTCAGTCTTAGATAGAGAAGGTTATGAGTAAAATATCTTCCTCAAATCTCAAAGATACTCACTAAAGCGAAAGTCAAGTACACATAGAACAGGTCGTAATAAAGCTTGATGTTTGTTTAAAATAAAAAACTTTTTCAAAACATTCTCAAATTCGTAGTCAGAAAACCCCTCATTAATTTGTTTTTTGAATTTTAGCAAAAAAGAAATTCAAAAATCAAGCCTTATTATGTATGACCTGGCCGTATTTGTCTACTGTGACATACAAATATATTACTACTTTATATTGAATCGTTATTAACAAAAGTTTGTCCGCGTGAACAGCATACTCGATAAAGCTGAGTTTGAAAAAAATTTAAGAAATTAATTTTTCTCTTTAGATTTTTGTGAAACATACGTTGATTATGTATCAGTGTTCATGAGAGGCTATAAATATGTGATCTTAACTGTTAATAGGTTCTTGATGATTAATATTAAAAACACGCCTTAATCGATGCTAGAACAAAAGCAGTCTTTGAAAAACTCGAAAAAATTTCTGAACAAACATAATAATATAGTTCAAGTTCTTTTCAATAAGTGCATCAGAATCTGTTGGTTTTGAAAAAAGTGATATATATTTTAGAAGATAAGGTCCTAGTACATTATCCTGGAATGAAAAATTTACTTTCTGATGGTGAGTCTCTTTAATAATTTAAATTGTTTTAGTATATTATACCTTTTCACCAATTTCTGTTTGATCTTTTGCTGGAAGCATAACTATGAAAATAATTTTAATATTTTTTTTTCAAACTTTTCTTGAAATTTTTTTTTTTACCAAGATCTTGTTCTAAAGCACATGCTTCAATGACTTGATCATATAATTTCTTATCAAAATCTCTTCCGAAAAGAATATTTTCTTTTAATGTTGTATTCATAATCCATGCTGTCTGTGGAACATAAGCAATTTTTCCACTTATACTAACACGTCCATTAACTTTAATCATTTCTCCAAGAAGTGCTGCTAATATACTACTTTTACCAGATCCTACCATACCAACAAGTGCAACAAGTAAACCTTGATGAATTTGTAGATTTATACTACAAATAAACTCGATCATCATATATAAAAAAAATTATTTATCTACGACGAACTTTTTTAAAACTAAAGGACCATCAACAAGATTTGACCAACGAAAAGATCCATTTTCAATATTAACAGAATTTCCGTGTGATAATTCATTTGATACTCTATCAACAGCATATTTATCTATTTCATCATTGTTTAAAAATTTTCCAATGCGATTGCTTGATACACGTGCCTACACAGAGTAAATTCGATTACAACAGAAATCTTTCAACTCACGTCGACAATACTGTTAATCATATTTGGAAATGAAACAAGTGGACCGCGAAGTAGATTGAATAGTGCTAATGATACAAATGCTTTGTCGGCAGTTAAAATATTCGAATCTGATAAAAGAACATATGTGGCAAATGTGGTTATGCCAACCTTAACAAATGCATATATATGACCATATAAGAATCAAGAGTCTCCTTTGTTGTGCTTACTAAAATTGGTGTAAATGTCCAAAGAATATTTGAAATAGCACCAATAATAGCTTTTTGACGTATATATCCGAGTTCTTTTTCTCGAATACGAGTAATTGAACGAATAAATGCCATTTCCCATGCATATAATTTTAAAACTCTAATTCCATTGAGGATTTCATTCATCATTTTAATTCGTTCATCTTTAACTGTCATTTGTTTAGACTATTCCAATAATAATTAAGAAAATTAAACCTATTCCAGTCATACATACATACCGTAAGTTTTTTCTGAATTCTTTGTAGAAATAAATTTATCGGAATCATTAAAAGTAATAATGCTACACCGGGTATTATGGCTAATTGCATTTGTTGATAGAGTACAAAAAGTATAACAATAATCTGGAATGGACCTGCAAAACAATTCGGATTAATGCTTTTATAAAAGATATTCGCTAAGTTTCGACCCACATAATTGATATAATTTTTTTTTACACGTTTCATCAATGAAAAAGGCTGATATGAATAATACAGAGTGTATCAAAACTTGTGAACGACAAAAAAAATTGATTATTTTCGTTTTGCTTTAATCAATATGACTGGTTTTTTTCTGTGATAGAGAACTCTTTCAAGTTTTTATTTATAAGAAAACAGCCAATAGATATTGTTTTGAACTAGGAATATTGCCTCCAATGAAGAAATACTCTATTGACCAAAAGTATCTCACTCCAAAGGGGAACAAACGAATTTCTATGCTAGAAATCATGTGAAATTACTATAACTCGTTAAGGATCGGATTAATAACTGGAAATGGTGACCAAGTCATTGAAAACAATCAGTGGTTATTAGAAAACATACGAAATTATTTTATGTCACAGAAAACTTTCAATAAAAGAATGAAAAGTAAAACCCTGATTTCTATTAATTGTTGAACGAGGCAACTTTTTCGTGATCCAATCTGAGCTGACTATAACTGGACTCGACACGACCCGAGGTCAAAGATACTTTTTGGCCAATCAAAGCACGTTTTTTCAGAGGCTAAGCGCTTTTGTGGAACACGATTTAAAAGAATTATTGAAATGTATGAAGGTAGAAACTGGAGGCTTGTCTCACAGGGTGATAGACATCTTATCATTCAGACGTCACTAGCGTGACAGACACCTTAGCAATCTCATTCTTGTGTCACAGATCCTGGCAGATATAGCTACAAAGCTAGAGTTCAACAGTTCAAAACAGGATTGCTGAGAAAAGCCTATTGGATTTAAGATGCCTGTCTTTAGTTAGCTCCCTTTCCAGATTCACCATAAGCTATTCAGATTAAACCTTTGGGGACGGAATTATTTTTCAATCCAGAACTGGGTTTTCAATCAGTTTATTGTATATAGCTCAAAATGATCACATAAAAACTTATCATAATCGAAAAAATAAGTTTTCTCATGTTATAGACAAAACGGTAGTGTACAAACATCCACTCCTTCATCTAACTTGAACTCTTCTTTTGTTAGTGAGTTCATTTTCTTTGTACTGACAAAAGCATTGGGATAACAAAATGAAGACTACATTGTGATAACTCAAAGTTAGAATTCTTGCTAAAAAGATCTTAACTGCAATCTAAAACAAAATAGGTGTTTGAGTGTGGGGCTCTGTAACGTTCTTCCTCCGAATACAGGTCCGATAAAATACCTTTCGTCTAGAGTGTAGGATTCATTCGCTAGACTTCGAAATAGAAAGACTTCGCCAATGCAACTATGCGAGTTAATGCAAAACAGACATTTCTTTCTTTACTGTAAAAGAGGTGATACAACATATGTATCACCGTCCCCAACTGGTTAATATCTTTCATTAGGCACATACATAATAGTAAGTTGGATTTGAGAAACCGAAATATATGTACCGAAATCCTTGATTTCCAGTTTATACTGCACTATCATGTCTCATATTTTAATTCCAGAGGAATTAAGCTAGTTTTGGTTAATCTATGTGAGCTCTCCAAGAATTGAGAAGAACGAAATCATCATCTCATCTAGAAATCCCGTCTGCCTTATGTGAAGTTCGAGCTGGGATGAATTTATTGTGACCTGACCCGAGTCAGTCTCTGGTTTCGGCGAAGACACTGACATACTGAGGCATCAACTCCATCAAAGTATGTGTCTTTTTTTACTTTTATTTATAACCATCAACGAAAACTAGTGAGATAAGTTGCTACAACTTCTCACTTAAAATAAGAAAATATGATGAACTAAATGCCTAGATATGAATATTATCTACCTGACCATAACATATGAAGTTGTGTAGTGATATCACCAAAATGTGAAGCATCAATTGCCATCTATTATTCAAAGGTAGAATAAAGAAACATAGAATTATAAAGTTTATATACGAACTAGATTAATCATTTCGCCAGTAGTTGTTTCATGTTTGGATGAATTTGATAATTTTAAACTCTAGAAGAAAGAACAAAAAAACAAAGAAAGACATAAATGAAAATAATTTAATAAGAATTCTTAACCTTGCGATATACAAGTCCAGTAATTGCTGAACGAAATCGAAGTCCAACAAGAAATTGACAATGAAAATAAGCTCGTAAGAATATTACTTGACAAAAGACAATTGCACTTAATAATATCCCATAAAAAATACCTAACCATTTTGGTTTTGTTGGATCAGTAAAAAAATTTAGAAAAAGTCTAAAATACATTAATCCATAATTGAATAAAAGTTTTTAAGACATTTACTTTAAAATCAAGGGACCCGTCAATTGAAATAGATCATGAACAAATTTTATAAGACCACCAGCGATAATCTTATCAATAAATGCACCAAAGAGAGCATGCCAAAAAATAGTTTTCTTTTGATGCTTTAATAATGGCTTCTCTATATCGATCATTGGCTTTAAATCGATTGAGAAATATAAAAACAAACGAACAGATATAATCACTTACCAAATCATTGAGCTAAATGAAAATATAACTAAATTTGTACTTGAAAAGAAACACTTACTGAATTTCGATTTTCATCTTCAGTTTGATTTGTAGCAGATGTATTCTTGTATGAAATACTCGTTGTTCGCCTATTCATCCTATATTCAGATAGAGAGAAAATAATAAAGATAGAAGAAACTGTACCTTTTCATACAATTTTGTACTTGATGAGCAACGATAACAGTTCGTTCAGATATTGGTAATTGCCAACAATCATTTTCTGTAAGTGGCTTTTTATAACCTCGAAGAATTAATGGTGTTACCCATGTACAAAAGATTTGGGATGGAAAACTAACATATAATTCAGGAACAATGGGCTATAACACGACTTCATAAATATTCTTCGAATTAAAAGAAAAATCTGATCATATACCCTTTCGTCAGATACTGTTTCAATAGTAGTATATTTTTCAGCAAAACAATTAGCAATAAATGATCCTAATGCGACGATAAAATGAAGCCAAATACGAGCAGATTCTGTCCATAATTTCGCTGATTTAGTCTAGATAATAGATTATTGTCGATGAGAAATTTTTCATAAAGATGACTAACTTGTTGTTGAAAATT